TCAAACTCTGTTTCTGTTGCCATGGTAAAATCCCCCCCAAAGGTAAGCTCCTGACCAAATCTGACTAAAGATTTTTGTCCTAGTTTTCTGCATAAAAAATAGTTTAATATGTCAATTGGACACATTAGTTTTTAAAAGCAAACGTTGCATGTCTATTTGACGAGGATCCTGGTAATCAATGATCACCACTAATTTACTCAGAATGAAATATTTATAGGGAGAGGATTCTATAACTCAGTTGACAGGATATGAGATTTATTTGGCATTGGTTTGTTTAATATGTGCAACATGACTAAACATGCTTGTAGCGTAGGGTGACCAAACGTCCGTATTTCCCAGGACATGTTCGTATTTCACGTCCTGTCCTGGGCGTCCCGGGTTTTTTTTAGAAAGTGAGGAAATGTCCTGATTTTTTAAATTACCTTCATTGGACCATTACATTTACAGACGCTAGGGCACTGCGCACGACGCTGCGTGTGACATCACCCCTGAGCCGCGCCAGTGCGGGCAGCCCCGTTCTTAATCAGAATATAGATAGCGTGGCTGTCAGTACGCCAACAACATGCAAAGGCACAAATGTATGTTTACCAACGATTTACAAAAGAGTTTCCCTGCTTTCAGACCGGATCGAGACAAATGGGAGGCCTTGTGCACAGTGTGCAAAGCAGGCACATATGTCTCGGTGTCCAATGGAGGTGCAAGGGATCTGAAAAGCCACCTGGACTCCGAAAGTCAAGATATTCTATTGATATGTTTGTTCGTTTTTGGTACATTTTGAGTTATTTTTGCTACAAAAGAGGTATTTTTTGTTAATTAGCTCATTTGTTTATTTTTTCCAATAACCTACAGAACAGACATTATTTCGTTCATTGCTAAGGCTGAGTATCATCTGTTATTGGGACTTGAGAGTTATTGTTAACTTTTATTGTTAAGTGAGGGATGTTTAGATGAGACATTATTTCTTTCATTGTACTATTCATTCATTACAGGAATTGTTAACATTTTTAATAAATACATTTTGAATAAAATTATCATTTGTTATTGGAGTTATTGCTGTTGACTTTTACTGAAAAGCATTTTTAATAAATCAACTGTTAGTATCATGTTATTGTAGGATTACCTAGGCCTATGCATGGGAACATAGATCCCCCGCCGCCGCCCCCCCCGCTCCAAGGTGTCCTGGTTTTTCAAAATGAAAATATGGTCACCCTATTGTAGCGACAGTGGGGAGGAAAAACTTTTAGCAGGAATAAACCTCCAGCAGAATCAGGCTCAGTGTGAGCAGCCTTCTGCTGAGGCCAACTGGGGTTCAAGGAGACAGAAGCAGAGATATGAAAAGCAACTGTAAAAAGCGGCTGCCCTGTCCAGAAAACAGGCAGCCAGGCAGACAAGCTCTGAGTTAACTCCCATGTCAGAGGATGAAAGAGCACTTCCAGCCAGTCACAGTCAGAGAAACAGGACTACACTGAATAACAGGCCAATCTCGAACATCAAAAAACAAAGGTGTTGATGGCAGCAGCACAGCTGATATTTCGCTCGCCAGGATGGTCTCACAGCCAAAAAAGAACAGACTAAGCAAAGCTACTATGAGAAAAAGCAGAGAGAGCATAGTGTTAGAGATTCTGCAAATTGGGAGAATAGAGATAGAGTGAATCAGAAAGATGAAATAGGGGTCCCTATGTCCCACAGAAGTCTAAGCCTATAGCAGCATAACTATAGAGATAGCTCAGGATAACCTGAGCCACTCTAACTATAAGCTTTATCAAAAACGAAAGTTTTAAGCCTACCCTTAAAAGTAGACAGGGTGTCTGCCTCATGGACTAAAACTGGTAGTTGGTTCCACAGGAGAGGAGCCTGATAACTACAAGATCTGCCTTAAAAGAGAAAAAAAAAAAAAAAATCTGCCTCCCATTCTACTTTTAGAAATTCTAGGAGTCACTAGCAAACCTGCAGATTGAGAGTGAAGAGCTCTGTTAGGGACATAAGGAACAATCACATCTATGATATAAGATAGAGCTTGGCCATTTAAGGCTTTATATGTGAGACGGAGGATTTTAAATTCTATTCTTGATTTAACAGGAAGCCAATGAAGAGAAGTTAGAATAGGAGAGATATTATCTCTTGGTTTAATTTTCATCAGAACTTAGCTGAAGGCTTTTACCTACAGTTTGTGGACCTCCTCATAGTAAAGAAAAACAAAAGTCCAGCCTTGAAGTAACAAATGCATGGACTTGTTTCTCAGCATCACCCCAGGACAGGATATTTTTAATTGCAATATTTCACAGATTAAATAATTCAATTCTAGAAACCTCTTTGATTGGGATTTCAATGACAGGTGCTGATCAAAAATAACACCAAAATTTTTTACTTCATCATCTGAAATCAGTTTAATCCCATCCATCTGAAGTGACTGACTAATCAGCTTCTTTTTCAAAGACTCTGGTCCAAGGACTATAACATCTGTTTTGTCTGCATTCAGGAGCAGAAAGTTAAGATTCATCCAGGTTTTTATGTATTGAAGACATGACTGTGATCTATGTAATGGGTTAGATTCATCTGGATTTACAGACAGATATAGCTGGGTATCATCAGAATAACAGTGAAAATTAATCCCATGCTGCCTAATAATTTTAGTAATTGGGAGCATATATATAGTAAAGAGAATTGGTCCTAGCTAGGACCTTAGTGTTGGTCCTAGCACTGATCCCTGTGGTACTCCACAGGTAACCCTTGAGGAAGATTTGTCATTAACGTGAACAAACTGAAATCAATCTTATAGATAAGATTTAAACCAGTGTAGTGCTGTTCCTTTCATTCCTACAAAATATTCAAGTCTTTCTTAAAGAATATTCTGATCATCTGTATCAAATGCAGCACTGAGATCTAACAGGACAAGTACAGATACAAGTCCATTATCTGAAGCCATTAAAATATCATTAGCAACCTTCACAAAAGCTGTTTCAGTGCTACAGTATGATGAGCTCTAAAGCTAGACTGAAACTCTTCAAAAACTTCATTATGGTGTAAGTGATCGCACACTTGCTTGGCAACTACTTTCTCAAGAATTTTAGATAAAAAATGAAGATTGGATATAGGTCTATAATTGACCAAGTCATCTGGGTCAAGAGACAGTTTCTTAAGTAAAGGTTTAATTACAGCAACCATATAGCCTTTGGTACATGTCCCTCTAACAGGGATACAGTAGATTAATCACATCTAAAATCGAGGACGAGATTAAAGGGAATATTTCTTTAAATAACCTGGTTGGAACTGGATCTAACATACAAGTTGAAGGCTTAGATGAAGAAATAGTTTGTCACTTAGTACTCTGAAAGTTCTGCTGGATAACAGCAGTCTAAACCCAGTTCAAATTCTATGGCTACCTCAGATGCTGTTAAAGTATTAAACTCTGTTTGATAACATATAGGTCAGAAAGCACAGGCTTGTGAGGAAATACTGTTATTTTTCCCATTCTATGCCATATATCTGCACAAGATCCAAAGTATGAAGATGAGAATGTGCGGGACTATTCACATTTTGAACAAAGCCAGCATGGATGTTAAAATCAGAAAGGAACTCTGAAAACTCATCTAAAAATTTAGAGTAAAGATCTGCTGGACGATACAATGTTAAAAAATAAGAAGTTTTCTTGCTTTGCAATTTGGATTAGGGAAACTAAGGGTTAAATTTTCAAAAGAGTTGTAATAGCCACATTTAGAAAAAAAACTGCCCCTTTTATGAGATAGTTAATATGATAAAGAGTGTGAAGGAGATCCATTAACTGACTGCCTAAAGTGAGATTATTCTTAAACTTCAAAAACAAACTTTCAATTTTCAGTGCGGTTCACTGCCATTGTTCACTTGATATTCACAAACAAACTGCAGCGGAAATGCAAACAATGCAAACAGTGGTTAAATAGAACTTCTTGTTATCTGTTCAACTGACATTATCAGATCTTGATTTTAATAAAGTGAGTCACAGAGCTGGGTCCACTAGATTTACCCCCTGTCTAGCCAGTACCACCAGTTGCTTCAGGGGTTTTTAGCTGGACGTTTGCTTTCATCTGTTCAGGTCCCAGTAGCAGGAGCTACTGTGCTGCGGCGGGGGACGGATCAAGCTCTAGGGACTTAAAGAAGCTCTATCTGTGTACATTTCAACCACATCAGATTGACAGAAAAGTTCAGATTTTTTTTTAACTCCAGCAACATTTTGCTTTTCTCTTTTTGCAGTTCTCTGCTCAAAACATGTCATTTGCATCACTAACTGTTAAAATCACTCTTGAATGTGCCTTTATATGTAGCTTGCAAGCAAGATGAATCGTCGCAATTTGTGTGAATTCACGGGGGGATGGGGGAACCACTTTGGTAAAAATACAGGGTGGTTTCTGAAAGGTTAGCAGATACATCTAAGCCAGTGAGAAACTCTTTCTGTTCTGTTGTGCCAGTAGAAGATTAAAGCCAGCTTTAAACCATCTTTTTTTTATTTCCAATTTAGATTGAGCAAATAAACCTATTTATTTGATGACTTTCTCTAAACTTCTAATAAATGTTAGAGAAAAATAAGCCTCTTTTCATAAAATCCATCATAATCCATAGTAATATAAATCATTTATATCAGAGTACATGAAAAATTGGAAAGCAAATAGTTTAATGATCCTTAATGTTGCGTAGAACACATTGAATTGATATTTATGCTGCAAAAAATTTGAAATAAATTTTTAACAGCAATCACATTGGAACAATATGAAATGGAAAGCTTACATGTCTCATGAAATGTGTTTTCTGTTTATTCTTCAGTTTTATTAAGTCTTAATTTACCATCTTTTTAACAGTGTAAAATCCAAGCAGGGAAGACATGCAGAGGAATGCAGCAGTCTGTTCTGTGTTATTTGACAAGTCCCTGATAAGACGCTGCTTGTGTTCCAATGCATCTGCTTGCTCTGTAAACAAATGTGCAGTCTTCTTCTCTGCAGTATGAGGTATTTCTAATTACCAACAAACCCAAATAGTCAGGAACAACTTCAGTAATCTGCCGCAGTTTGGAAATGTCTCGTCCATTTAGGCTATTTTTGTTTTTTTATGGTTGCTGCTTCATCTTTGCATCCCCGGAAGTCTGCACAAACTCCCTGATACCTGGAGCTAAAGGTAGGCTAAGACATACATTTAAATATATATTATTTATTTTCATTTTAAATGAAATTTTAGCAAACAAGTGGGAAAAATATCAGTTGTTTGTAGCAGAGTTAGGGTGGATGCAGGGTTAGACTCAGTATGTGCTCATACTGCTGGGAACTATTAAAACATTTGTTTTCAACAAACAAGTCTTTTTATGAATGATAAAGATTATTCCTAACAATAGCGTATACCTCCATGACTAAAATTTTCTGTGGAGGAACCCCCGCTACATTTTAGGTTTAATAAGCAGACAATAAACCCACCAAGCATTAAATATCCTATAGTTTACAAGCTGGCTGTCTGCGAGTATATTATCTAGTAGGGAATGCCTCCCTGTGTGTGTTTTCTATTTTACAACATCCAGTAGCTTGCTATCCTGCTGACTGAGACAGACAGAACCTTATAAAATCCAAAGTTGAGCTCAGGCCTTGTTTTTTTCAAAGCTGTTTCTCACAAGTGAAAAACAAAGCTTGTAGATCTGGCTGAAGTAAAAACCAGCAAGGATTTTCTCAAGGAACTGTTAAGCTGGAAAGAATCTAAAAAAATTTTTAAAAGACATATATCATATCTTATCTTTGTTGTACTTTGGGCAAATCTGTTTCAATTTTGCTCTTTGTTTTTGCAAACTTACTGTCATGTAAAAAATTAAAAAGAGGTAACCGTATCATCACACACACTTTCGTAATCTTCCCCTTATATACAGGCTAGAAAGTCCCATCGAGTCAGTGTGTATTTAGACAGCTGCCACAAGAGTGAACTGATTATTTGTACAAGAATCATCCAGATACTAGTGACCACAGAGTCAGTCTCCCACTGAATAGCTGAGTGGGCGTCGGACATGCATTTTTCTGTGTGCCATACAACCGAAAAAACGCTTTATTTATTTAAATCCTTTTCAACAAACACACTTTTTATTACTTTTACTGGTAGTCTGACTATATCCTAAAATACATTTGGAAACCTTTCAACCATCGGTAAAAATGTGTAACAGAAAAATAAAAGATTAAAATGAAAATCAGATTTGTTCTACAGAATTAGATTTACAATGTTGCTGATTGATGACATATTTTGAAGAGATTTTATGTGATGAACCAATGACAATCAATTGGAATTGTTTAATAAAATATATTTTACTCTATTTTGGACTTTTTTACTAATCAAGTGTGGTACATCTTCCATTCATAGCTATTGAGCTAGTACTTTTTAACACTACTATTCCCTGCAGTCAAGGCTGTTAAATTAAGAATTTTGGGATATGTCTCTACAGGATTTGCAGAACTAGAGAAGGATTTTTACTAACATAACTTAACTAAGTGACTAAAACATCATCCAGGTCATGGTAACCACAAACAGGCTTAGATTAGGAGGCATCCGAACTTTCACTCAATTTTTTGAAGACGCTTTGATTCAGGAGTCTTTGTCAATTCCGTTCACTTGTCTGAGCACGGATGTATTGAAGCAGCATTTAGGTCCATCCTCCATATGTAATGTGTAATATGTGTAGGATATGGGGCGACAGTGGCGTTGGATGTAGAAGTTTGCCCTGAAATGGAAGGATTGACGGTTCTACTGATGGTGGTCAGAGGGCCCGGTGGCGCCAGTGTACGGCAGCCTCGCTTCTGTCAGTGAGCCCCAGGGCAGCTGTGGCTACAATGTAGCTTGCCACTATCAGTGTGTGAGTGTGTGCTTTCTCAACCAACAATAGTGAATGTGTTGTTATAAAAAATGTCATACTGCTGATAGTTTGATATAAAAAAAATAAATGCATAACAGCTCAGTTTGCTCTATTAAAATTCAGGAGATCAAGGGGAGGCTGGAGCGCAGGGAGAGGAGGGAAAACTTGGGAAGAATGGACCACCCGGAATGCCAGGTATGAAATATTAGTCCCATACTTGCCTTTAAAGATTTCAGACATTATTCTGATAAATTAAAGAGAAAATTTTTTTTAATTTGTTTAACCAAAGGCAGCACCTTTATATACTGTTGTTTCATTAAAATTTGCATTGATCGTCTTGTAACTAACATCACTGAAAAATAAACGACAATCAAAAACATAGATTGAAATTTGAATATATGATAATCTAAGCATAAAAAAAAGAGCAGTACCATGTTTGAAGCATTATGTCTGACACAACTGAAAGGAAAAAAAGGGAAGTAAACAAGAATCCGTTGCTCTGTTTTGTATGTTCAAGAAAGATAAAATCTGTCCTTCTCTTTTAGAAAATGTTTCTGCACTGATATAACATCAAGATTCAGGTTGTAATTCTGAGCTGTAGGCTTGAGAACCATAAACAATAACCATCCTCTGGATACATATTGACTTGGTTAGTAGGACACACAAACCTACACAAAGACAGACTGACAGAGCAAAACCAGTATTAGATAGTGGTCAAGAAAGTTTAAACTTCATATTTTATCCATTGGTTCTCACTTAGAATGGTAATATTGTTTAATTAGCAACGAATGGAAACTTGGATATCCAGAAACAGGTCAAGATATTAACGCTTTCTGTACAAAATCTACCATTATCTTTTTTCTCCTCATATCTAACATTTATCAGCCAATTCTTTTCATGTTTGTGGCCAGATAGAATGACTGAAATTAAATCTTTTTACTATAAAGATTTTTTTATTGTTTTCTTCAAAGTCAGCTCATATTCTCTTAGATACCTTGGAACCATTTGTTAAAGATCTCATGTGAAAAACATTCTTACTGTGGAGCCTTTTCATTTACAATTTCAGTGAACCTTGATGCCTAAATTTATATACATATATGTATATATATGACCTGTCCAGGGTGTATCCTGCCTCTCGCCCGTAGACAGCTGGAGATAGGCACCAGCACCCCACGCTACCCCGCTTGGGATAAGCGTGACAAAAAATGGATGGACATGTATATTTATGTGTGTATATTTAAAAGTTGTCTGCCTTTAACTAGTTGCCAAATTAAAAATTTTAAACTTTCTATTTAATTAAAAAATAATTGGTATGTAACAAATTTGTGACAACATTCATAGTGGCCAATGATAACATATACTATAAGGCAGGCATCCCCGTCCTCGGTCCTCGAGGCCCGCTGTCCTGCAGGTTTTAGAGGTTTCCCTGCTTTAGCACAGCTTATTATAATGATTGCAGTAGACCAAAAGCCTGTTCATCAGCTTTCAGTTAAAATCAGCTGTGCTGGAGCAAGGAAACCTCTAAAACCTGCAGGACAGCGGCCCTCGAGGACCGAGGTTGGGGATGCCTGCTATAAGGGACTTGATACAGGTTTTTACCAGTGATGAAAACTTGTAAAAGAACCATTGAATGAAAATATAAAATCTTGTGAAGATCCTGGCTAAACCTGATAACATAGTGTTTTTCCCACTGAAACAAGACAATTTATATTTAATATATGAAAAAAAAAACAATTGCATTGTCTTATTTAAAGTGCATATTATCTAGTTATATTATTTCAAGAGTTAAAAAATCTCATTCCATTGGCAAACCTCCTTATCTAATGAGATTAAGGGTACATTCACTTAATTTAAGAAATCTGTACTTACTTTTAGATAGTTTTTGCAGTGTACTTAGAGGGGAAAAATATATGTCTCTGAAAACAAATTAAAACTGATAAGAGTTTTAGACTGTTTTTCTTGAAGGCATGTCCTCAATAGTCTATTAGGAGACATCACAAGGAAAGGAAGTTATGTGCAAATATTGAAGGGAGAAGGTCAGGCGGGTAGTTAAAGCTTGGTCACAATTGGACAATAACTCTAAGAAACTATCTTAGCCAAAATAGTCACATAATGGTTTAATGATAGTAAAGTCCAATTTTTTTATCTGATCATTACAAAACCATGATTTCAGTCTCGTTCTACATTTGTGAGTGAGAGGAAGTGAAAATGAGAATGCAACCTACAAACCAGACTTATGCCAATGCAGGGAGAAAAAATTCGCCAAAACTCTAGAAAGCCATGCTAAGAGGCATGAGAATGATACCCAAAGTCCCACAGTTAAACAGCAATTCTACCACAAGAAAGAAGAAAGAAAAAAGAGTATTTCTGAATGAAATATCTTGGAGTGATTAGAGTTATTCTCAGTTAAATCGTAACTGACAGATACCATGTCAGACAATAGAAAGAAAAGTCATCTTTTAATGCAGCGTATGTAAATATGATTTAAACTAGTGACAAAGAACAGGAATGAAATATTTCTCTCCTAAAGCCTGTGTGTGAGTACTGGGAACAAACCGAGAAGGTATGATCACTACAACCTTTTTCAACTTTTCAACTTTACGGACGTTTTTCAAAGCCTGTCATTATGGTTTTTCTGTCCGTACACTTACTGACATCCATGAAAGCAGGTCCCTACAATGATTTTGTTAGTGCACCATGTCAGCAGCGTAGCAGATGACGCATGTATTCCCAGTCCTAATTTAGGCAGTGTTACAGGAAACAGTTGCTTAATTTTGGAAGCTTAAAAGGGAATCCATGACTCTCAATGCTCTGGAAGGCAACATAAAAAAACAAAACTGTTTGTTTGTCTGAAGTCATTATCATCAAATAGCTGCTAACTGAGCTCTCACTGGTTTTAAGTAAGATTTTTCATGAAGTATATTAGACGAGAAAGCCCCCCAGGTAGTCAGATTTTGTACTTCAGCTGAGCAAACAATATATATAATTAATGATCATATTTAAATTCTTTTGAGGTTTGTTTATTTGCTGATGTTTCAACATATTTCAGAATTTTTTTAAGTTGTTTAAATTGTGTCTTTAGCTGCACAATTGCTGTGAGAAATGTACTCTTCACCTCTTTTATCCAACAGCAGCTGGAGACTCCAGTCGTTAAACCAGTTGGAGGAGTTGGCCATTATAAAGTGTGACTGCAGTGATACAAAGGCCTGTTATCTGGACGCTCACACAGACCGTTAAACTGGCAAGCTAATGCACTGCGAAAACAACATCAATCCGCTGTTAGAGACACAGCGGCCAAGAGGAGCCAAAATCAGTTTCCTCATGTAGAAAGAGACAAAAATACATGAACACTTCTGAAAGAGAGCTATCTGCTCAGTATTGTGAGGATCCCTGAAAAGCATGTTTTAAGTAGAGTTTAGTTTTTAAAAGAATAAAAACGACTTTTTAAAAGATATTTTTAAAAAAGGAGCTTTGCATAAAATAGATTTGCATTATAGCAATTCATAAAAGCTTAACAAGCATCTCCTTAAACCCTGAGGTAGAAGGAGGGACTGTGGGAGGGATAAAAAAGTTTTAGAACTATTCAATACAAAAAAGAAATCAAGAACAATGTTCCAAATGTTGTATTTGTGATGATCTGTTAAAAGAATAATATGGGGTATGGTTAAGATTAAGGGTTGTTTGTGTGCATGTTGATGTGCATGTGTTGTAAACGCCTCTGATAGCAATCTGGCCTCATCTGCATGTCACTTAGAATTTGAAACAACATACGTTTCCAGCTGAATAGTTTCCTGAGGAAACACTATTTCAAAAATTGGCAGAAACCCTCTTTCTGCTCAGTATGACTCCCCCACACACACACCCACAAATGTCCTCCCTTATACAAGTTCTCATTTAGGTTTATACTGCACTTCAAACGTTTTTTTCTATCCTCAAATATGTCTGAATGCAAAGTTATAAGAAAAACGATACCGGCTGCTGCGTCTTGCAAAAGTATTCATGCAGTTGTAACTCTTCCCCATTTTGTCCTTTTTTTTGGTTTGTTATGTCTTTAGAAACAATGCCATGTATCGTCTGACTGGGGAAAGTGGATCCGGGTAGAGAATATAGCTCTTTAGTACTTTAAAGATCTCCTCAATCAGACTCCCATGTCCTCTTTAACGGAATAGAAGCCTGGACACTCAAGACAATAGAGCTCTGTCACTATGGCATTTGTCACTGTCATAGTTAAAAAGCTCCTCTGATGCCAGGTGCTTATTAGATTCTGAAGGCTCTGGACACGGGATGGAGCTGGAAATTGACAAACTGCAGTGATATGGATGTTGTCCACAGCTGTTGTTGTAAAGAAAGAGCTAAAGAGTAAAAAAAACAAAAGATAAGAGACTCTTGGTTAGAAACAGGGGGAAAACTTCATCACTCCTTGGGTGTCTCAAAGTACAGTCTCTGCTCCTTTGCATCGAAGTTACTGATTTGCGTTTTTGAGACACATTTTAATGGAAGGACACTCAGGGCAAGACTCAGAACATGCTGGATGAAACCATGATCCCTCGTGGTCAGAAAACTCCTTTGGATCCACCAGAATACTGGCAGGGTGTTTCCTGGCGAGAGGGATGTCTATATTTCTTTCCTGGGCTTAATGACCCCAACCCAATTTATATATAATTCATTTATTAAGTAGGTGACCTTTAAAGGTTGATACAGTTTTATCATGGCATATAAAACAGGTTTGTGCTGTTAGTTTGAGAAACTAAAGAAAACCTTTAGGAGTCGGAATCTTTGTGCATGGAATTGCATGGAAAAACTAAACTTAAGAATATGACAAATTTCAGTGGTATTTATAGAGCAGTAATTGTTGTTATTGGTTTCTATTAAGAGTAAGAAAACAGAGGCTCACAACTGAAACAGTACTCAATTATTTGTTCCCAATGTTGAACATATACTGTAATATTTTAAGATCTCTTTCAGAAATAAAAGTATAAAACAAAGATAATAACTATAAAGTCGACTAATGCCATAAATCTTGGAGGAATCAAATCAATCAAACAGTCTATTGATATAGATTAGTTTCTTAGATCTGTATTGCCGATATATTTTAATTTTACTGACTGAGTTGTTGCAGAGTCACCAGATAGTATAGGGGGATTTTTTCTCACACTTTTATTTTGGAGGTTCTGAAGCTGAATAGATCAAGAATTACTGGATTGGACCAAAGTGGAAAATGAATAATGAGATTTTGGTCTTTTTGTTTCTTAATTTCTGCTTTCTTTTTTTCTTGCTCAGGTGTGCCAGGTGAACCAGGCCTTAAAGGAGAAGTGGGTCCCACAGGAAAGATGGGCCCCCCTGGAGAGAAAGGTTCTATTAGAGCCATATTAATTAAAAGTCTGTATAGATAGATAGATAGATAGATAGATAGATAGATAGATAGATAGATAGATAGATAGATAGATAGATAGATAGATAGATAGATAGATAGATAGATAGATAGATAGATAGATAGATAGATAGATAGATAGATAGATAGATAGATAGATAGATAGATAGATAGATAGATAGATAGATAGATAGATAGATAGATAGATAGATAGATAGATAGATAGATAGATAGATAGATAGATAGATAGATAGATAGATAGATAGATAGATAGATAGATAGATAGATAGATAGATAGATAGATAGATAGATAGATAGATAGATAGATAGATAGATAGATAGATAGATAGATAGATAGATAGATAGATAGATAGATAGATAGATAGATAGATAGATAGATAGATAGATAGATAGATAGATAGATAGATAGATAGATAGATAGATAGATAGATAGATAGATAGATAGATAGATAGATAGATAGATAGATAGATAGATAGATAGATAGATAGATAGATAGATAGATAGATAGATAGATAGATAGATAGATAGATAGATAGATAGATAGATAGATAGATAGATAGATAGATAGATAGATAGATAGATAGATAGATAGATAGATAGATAGATAGATAGATAGATAGATAGATAGATAGATAGATAGATAGATAGATAGATAGATAGATAGATAGATATTCATTTCATTTTCTGTTGATGGACCCCAAAACAAGAGCAGGAAATTTTTCCACGTGCAGAGGCATTTAATTAGTCCCGAACCTACAACAGAAAAAAACAAATAACTTTAAAATGGTTCATTAGGTTGTTTAAAAGTACAAATGATACTCATAAACCCCAGCGTAAGTTTCAGCTTTAGGCATTGGATCAAAAGGAGAAAAAAATGTTGTTTTCTTGCAGTGTGATGTCAGCTGCTGCATTTTCAGGGTGTTCTTATTTCTATTTCTATAAGCAGACAAATTCCCCATTCATTATGTTTAATACTCTTACAGGAAAGTGACTCTGCACAAGGCATCCCAGAGAAGGGGTGAGGTCACAGCTTTAGATTAACAATGAGACTGGAAACCCATAGCTCATAAAACACCTGGGGGGGGGACAAAATAGACTGAAGACAATGCCAACTGCAGCAGGGTTTAAGACTAAAACTGGGCTACTGTTTTATAGCATGCTGATATACCCTCACTCACTCATAAAATGGGTTGAGTTTCCACATCTGTATAGGGTTAACTGGCATTTAAACCCAAGTCATGTTAGATTCAAGCTCTACACGGGGAAGAAAAGTTTTAGTTCTTATTTATTTATATATGTCTCTGCCTATTCTGTTTTGTTTTTTGTTTTCTTCACGATAAACCAATGGCTGTATTGTGGTTAACAGCTATTGGCATCCAAACAGTGTGTGATAAATCTTATGTGTGGCTGAATGTAACACTGATTAACGTTGCTGGGATTTAAACATCAAACAGCAGCAAAATCCAGTAAATTCATCATAACAGGAGGTTCAAAATGCAACCCTCCAGGCCAAACAGACCTGTCCAGGTATAGCATGTCCCTGTTTTGACTGTTCCTCATCCATAATTAGTCCACTGTGATGTTTGTACTGCAAATCACTTCCCCAAAACCTGCAACTGCCGGGTTAATTTCCACTGCCAAGCTGCAGCATGCCTGAATAGGTGAAATCTTGATATGGACACATAGAAAATAAACTGTTTGAGTACCAACAAATTCAAATTCCAAAGTTTTGTTTTAAAGAGCTGTAGATTATGTCGGAACATTTAATGTAAGGTGGAGAACAATGAATTACCAGAGTGGCTCTGCAGAGGTGAGCAGATTCTTTAAAGTATGGCTGCCCTCTGTTGGAGAAATTGGTAAACTACATAAGCATAATATTTAGATGATGGATGGACGGACGGACAGATAGGTCACAGTTTATAATTTTACATGTTTTAGCACTTTGCAGTCAGTTGAGCTTGCCAACACCCAAGCAGTGTACTATTTTTCATTCCTCTTCTCATAATGAAGGTGTGCAGTTCTTTATCCTTAATAATAATTCAGTGTAAGGGCTTGTCTCCAGATGTGCACTAACTCTGGAGGAGCTCCAGAGACCAACTTCGCAAGTAGGAGGATCTGTTGACAGGACAATGGTTGAATAAAAGCCATAAATATAGAACATCATACTAGAATATCAGGAAATAAAAAACATGCAGGAAGATATTTTGGTCATATGAGAACAAAGGGGAACTTTTGAGCATATTTGCAGTTGTGGTTAAACATTAATACTGCACACCACTCAACCCATCACCCCTACATAAAAATATGGTGGCAGCATGGGAAAAGTTGATGACAGAGCTGAAGGTGTAGCAGAATGAATATAAAGCATAACATCTTTAAAAAGCTGAAAACAATTTAGAACTTGCAAGAGGTTTTCCTTCCATCAGAACATCCCTAAATGGAAAGATTTGAATACAAACATCTGTTGTTCAGGTGTTTGGATGGTTCAGTTCTAGGTCCATATCAATAGAATTTAAAGTATTAAAATAAAGGATAGGTTTAATGTTGAATATATGAGAAAAGATTGGGTAAATGTCATGGTATGAGTACTTTTACAGGGGTCCTATTTGTTAGATTTGGCTGAGCATCTTGGATTTTATCCCTCCTCAGGTGACAAAGGTTTGAAAGGTTTCGATGGACCAGTTGGACTCAGAGGAAAAGCTGGTAAGATGAATTCTGGCTTCCTCATTTCAGAATATTCCGACCTATTCTAACCATGTCTTGTCTTTTTCTATAATTATGAATATGCTTGACTGCACTCAGTGTTTTCTTTTGCTAACATTTATAACTAAACTAAATTTGTCACAAAGGAAAATCCATAATATTTACTTTTCGACAAAGATTATTCAGCATTTTATAAACTTGAATTAGCAGGTAAAATATCATAGTCATTTGATTAAAGGCAGTAGGTTGAATTAATGCCTTTTTTACCCATCAGGTGCAACATGCGACTGTGGGAGATACAGGAAGGTGGTCGGAAAGCTTGATGTGAACTTAGGGAGGCTGACAAACACTGTTAAGTTTTTAAAGAACGGTGAGTTGTTTAGGACATTTTAACTTTGCAGGGCATACTGAGAAATACACAAAGATGAGATCAAATGAACTGCCCATGTGGTTTCACGATTTAAGGTGAACTTCCTTTAATGTAGGGGAGTGTTGGCCTAGTGGTTAGAGCAGTGTGCTTGTGCTCTGAGAGGGTTGCAAGGTTTCCATCGCCTCAGCTTCCACTCTGGGTTCTTGAGCAAAACCCCTTAACCCCACACTGCTCCCCGGGCGCTGCACAATGGCAGCTAACTGCTCCTCAAGCGGATGGGTCAAATGCAGAGAATTTCCCCATTTTGGGACAATATAGAGATTTACATTTCATCTTTCCAGGTCATTAAAATATTATGCTTTTTATTTGATGTAGGGCAAGACAATATTTGTTTTGTTTTGTTTGAATGAACAGACACTACTCTTAAAACATGCCCTTATTTCTATTACCCATTCTGGAAATTGACCTGAATTCTAAGTGCAACTAATTACAAGTTGAGAAACATGCTTGTTAAAGATGTCAGCGGGCCCAGCCAGTGTAAACATCGAAAATACAATACATACAAAAGAAGGAAAAAATCCAGATTTTCTGCAATGTAAACACTCATGATGTGAATGAAATAGAAATACTGCCTAGACCTCATGTGCAGCCACTCTTATTTTTGTAAAGCTATCGCTATTCTTTAATTGGCTCTGATTATCTTGGATATGTTCATGTAAAGTGGTCCTGGGCTTGAAGGAGGACAAGGAGAGACACTATCTGCTTGTTAAGGAGTCCAAGAAATTCAGAGAAGCTTCAATGAACTGCAAGCTTAGAGGCGGCACCTTGGCCATGCCAAAAACCAGCGACATCAACCGTCTCATGACTGGCTACATCACTCAGGCAGGACTGACAAGGGTTTATGTTGGACTGCAGGCTCAAAGTAAAGACACGGTAAATGTTTTGGAAGGACAGAACTGCTTCTTTTAAAGCAGCTATGTTTTACATTATTCCCACTGCAAGTTACTGAAAAATGTATTTGTTTTTCTTAAAGGATGGAAATGGTGGTGGTTACATTTATGTAGACTCTTCGCCTCTGCAAGAGTTTTCTGCTTGGAGCCCAGAGGAGCAGCTTCATTCCAGGTTATCTTCAAACACCAGCTCCAGCTGCGTGGAGCTGCACAGCACCGGGACCTGGAATAATGTGGAGTGTGAAGCTACCCTGTTCTTCATCTGTGAGTTCCCAAAGAGCCAAGGAAAAGGAGGAGTGCCTGCTTCTACGTCACAATGAGATTTAAAGCCAAGAAAGATCTAAATTACTTAGTATTGATTAGGATGATGTTTTGTCTGCTTCACCTGCATAAAGCTGAATTTAAAAAAAATGCAAATCTATCCCATTATTAGATATATATATAAGATAATATCTGGATTTTCCAAATACTGCTGTCCAATCACTGTGGTTCTTCAAATATAGCAACATTGGCCAAAGATATGTATTTAATACCTGTTTTCTTTGCAAAAATCTTAATTCTACAGTATTTTTTCTTCTTCTTTTTTTGTTTTTTATTCAGCTTTTAGATGATGTTTCATCTTAGACCCTATGTTATGTGTGGCATTTAAAAATATTAAAGTTAGCAAACATTTAGTTTGTCTCTGAATAATTGAGCACACACACAGATGCTTGTTCTGCTATATGTAGTGAGGATCATTTGTTGGCTCCCCTGGACTTACATTAATGTTCAGTCATTTTCAACCCTTTTCTATGCCCTGATCCTAAAACTAACCCTAAACCTAAACATTACCAATGCATACATAAACCTTACCCTAACCCAATTGACAACTTAGCCCTAAAATTAACCATTAGCAAAAAAAAATGTTGTGAGGAACAGCAAATGCCCTTACTTTAAAACAGCTGGTCCTCATTGTGATGGAGAAGTTAAAAAAAAATATGGCCCCCACTCTGGTTTCTATGTAAGTGCAGACACACAAACACAGCTTTGTTTTCATGACATATGGGGACATTTCATTCACTTGCATTCATTTTATATGGCCTAACCTAGACCCTTACCCTAACCCTACATATTACCAACATATCCCTAACCCTAACCTAAACTGAGTCCTAAACCTAACCCCAAATTAAAGAACAGAACATTACCATATGGGGAACAGTTGAATGTCCCAATATGTACCTATAAGTCCCAGCATGTAGGACATGTAGGACATTTTACAAAATTATTCCCCACATTGTAATTAAAACCAGACCACACACACACATTAATTCCTTAACAGCTTTATTCTGCTTAGGATCCTTAGGCCTTGATGAGAACTTAGGAAGGCTGTAACATTTTCAGCTATGAGGCCTCCTCTGAGAACATGCACAAAATATAATTTCCCTCATAAATATGGCTAAAATAAATGAGTAAATTTGGTGACTCATACAAATGAAAAATCACATTTTAATATAATAAGCAAAGTCATCATAAAAATCAAAGAGTTGTCAAAGAGTTAATTTCATTCAGCAATCACTTCACTTACTATAACATAAATTAGTTATACAGACACTGGTGTTTTCAGACATACATTTATGTTGATATCTTGATTTTCATGCGTACAGCTAAAGGAAACAACATTTATAACCAGGATATTACATCTGACCATTAAAAGAAATATTTTGAAACAGAAATGTAATCTTTCTGAAAGTGAAAAAAAAAAAAAAACATCATTAATACATGTCAATTTTAAAACCTTTATTATGACAAATGAGCCCCATCCAATCAAATATTATAATATATTGGACATATATTAAATTATTTGTTACATTTAAAAATAGATTATATTGGGGCGATGAGATGAGCAGCTATTACAAAAACAAATCAAAATCTTCAAAATGACAAAACATACATATATTTTTTTTCTTCTATCATGTTTTCACAATCAAAATCATACATGGATTTGCATTTCTGCTTGTCTAAAATTCAACACCACAACATGACATCCATCTTAAACATTATTTAGAAGCAGCTGTAGAAAACGCTTTAAATGCATCAAGTAGACAAGTAAAGGCAAGTAATAATTGAAATACCCTCGTTTCTGTTCTTAGTTTTATCATCAATAATATTAATGTTATCTTTATCTTTTTAGTGAAGATATTTGAATGCAAAAGAATTTCCCATGCTAATAAAAAGTATTTCAAAAGATGTATTTCTTTTTTTGCTTTTTTGAAAGTACCAAATAAACAGGATAAACATGTATTATTATCTAAAGAGCATGTTCACACCACCATACCCGAGAAGAATCCACAAAAATAAGTTCATCAAGTCTCATCACTTGACCCACAACAGTTTACTGCTGGTTGTTGCTTGATGATGGCCAGGGTTGATAATAAGAACCAAACATCAGCAGAATTCTGTTTGCGGCCAAAATCTGGACATGTGTGACACTTTCAGGTGGACTCTATGTTTGGGTCTAACCTGGGAGGTAAAGTTTGCTCAAAGAAATGGCTGCAAGGACATATTTATTTACCAGGAAATACAACCTGTTGCTGTACAAATCCCATAGAATGGAACAACAGCTCCATCTACTGTGTGGTCTGCAGTGAATACTGCTGTTATCTTTGGTTTTGACTGCTGGGGTATGTTAGGCTAATAACCTTTTAGAATACTTTAATATCATATAGTTTAGAAAACATGTTGTTATTAAAGGAAATCCAGTTATTGTTACAAAGGTAAAAGAGATTCTGGTTCATCTTTAGAGCTGCAGATTTGAAGCTTTAATAGAGAAAACAATACAGCTTTTATTTTTCACCATTTTTGTCAACATAGTTTTCATTCTCTAAGGTGGGACTTGAGAACCACAGGGCTAGGCTTTTATCAATCCTGGATTTACCTCTCATGAAGTCATTGTTTTCGTTGATTTTGCAGAACTTTGTCTGAATGCATTTTTTTGTGTGTATGTATGTGTATACATACATATATATACATATATATATATATATATATATATATATATATGTATGTATGTATATTAATATATATATATATATATATATATATATATATATATATATATATATATATATATATATATATATATATATATATATATATATATATATATATATATACACAATATTTAATATTCTTTGAAGTTGATGTTCTTGTGTGTTAAATGAAAAAAACAATCACATCTCAGTGAAGTTTAGAGACACCAGTTGACCTTGCAGTCAAGCTTTTGGACAATGGGAGGAAGCAATGTTCCCCACAGAAAACCCACTAAGAGAACATGCAAACTCCATGCAGGTCCTATCAGGCCCAGGATACACATGACACACATTATATATATATATATATATATATATATATATATATATATATATATATATATATATATATATATATATATATATATATATATATATATATATATATATATATATATATATATATATAGGCTATATATATATATATATATATATAGCTATATATATATATATATATATATATATATATATATATATATATATATATATATATATATATATATATATATATATATATATATATATAGGGCCTATATATATATATAAAACTGGGTTAAATATGCTTCAACTATATGCACAGCAGCATAAAAAATGTGGCCCTTACAATTCTCACCTACAACAGGTCAGACAAGGTTTCCATCAATTTCCAGACCTTTTTCAGAATAACCAGGAGGTTAAATTCATTTGAATGGGTTTCAATACTAAAATGAACCGTGCCCTCTCAGAGGTTATATCAACATTGTCTCACATAACCTGGACAATCATTAACTATGGCTTAAGATAGAAAGCTGAAATTCTCAACAGTATTCCTTTTAATAAAAAAAAACTCATTAAGAGCATATGTGTTTTTTCTATCTTACAATGCATTATTTCTTTTGCAATATGTCTTTTAAATCAAATATCTTCTCTTAAACCCTGATTAATACTAATTTACATGTGTTTTACTTCCAAGTGTCTCTGTGTGTTGAAATCTAAACAGTGCACACCCATTGACTCTCAGCTCTTTTGCAAATCAACGTCTGGGACAAGTTATACCATTTCTAGATTAAATGTTTCACACAGCCAGTAGATTTAAAATAGATGAATAGGTACTGCTGCCTTTACTTGGAGTTGGGGAACATAGCTACAGGTGAAGGCAGCAAACCCACAGGGCCAAAGAAGGCATTATTATTCTGTGTTGACATTAAGGGCGTGAAATTAACTGAATGAGTAGGCTTATTCTTAGTAGATTATCTCAGGAATTCATTGCACAATAGGCTGCACGTTACTATTCCCACTTTCAAAAGTTTAATTAAACTATATTTCAATTCTGGGTAATTTAATGTCTTTGAAAAGGAATCTATTTGTTTTCATTTGTGCTTATTTTAACATATTGTATAAAAAAATAAGATTCCAATCTGACCTCTGACACGAAGTTTAAAGAAAAACAGGTGGATGTAGAAACTTCCTTGACTTCCCTGAATGCCTCACGCCTCGAAGGAGTGGCCGCCGCACCTGTCCGACCTGTTCGGGGGATACATGAGTCCAGAGGAATTTCTCCCCCTTCTCCCGTCTTTTGTTCAGCTGCGTTTTTTTTTTTTTTTTTTTTTCCCTCTGAGGGAGAGTGGACAGAGAGAGTCAGAGGAGTGGAGAGGGACGCAGATAGAAGATGTCGTCGGAACCAGCACCAAACCCCGACGCCACCTCCTTCCCAACGCCAACTATCTCCTTACCTTTGGGACTGGGGGTGCTGAGGACATACTCTGGAGCGCTTGTCTCTTTGGAAATAGTAAGTGTCATTTTGCAGTAAGTGGTTTTATACGAACAAATAGTCAGCCAGTGTGGGTTAAGTTGTTATTTCTTTAAAAATTAATGTTTAACCTCTGATAAGAGTCCATGCTTAACACACTGTTTTTATTTCTAATGCATGGATTGGTGTAAACTAAAAAAAAACTAAGCCTGTCTGTGATTGCCTTAAATAAAACATGCTGCTTTGAAAATAAATCTGGCATGCAGTTTATTGTTATTGCACTATGGCCACATTTTGCATTGTCATTAGCCTTATCTCATTCTATTTATGAGGAATACTGTGGCAGGGCCATACATGTTCCTGCAATAAAGCACATTTTCCCCTGCAAGGTGACCTCTGCAATATAAGTAACTTCTAATCTGCTGGATAATTTGACTATTATCTGGAAACTGCTCTGCTGCTGGGGCCATTTATAGGCCTCTGGATGGAAACTGGCATTCAAATGCTGACTTTAAGCTTTTATCCAAAGTTGCACCTTGCTGTTAGAGTAGTAGCGACCCATCTAATTTGTTGGGCAGTAGCTTCTTGTCATGAGACATAAAGCATCAGCTATTAATGCTTTGCATTGAAGTAAGACTAGTTGTCAGATTTGTGAACTTTCTTAAATGCCGTATGCTGCTTTGTTGTCTAAAAATCCACAACTGCAAGCATTGTGAAGGGATTTTCAATATTGTTCCACGGTATAAAAGTTAATATGATTTACATAGTTGAAATAAACAAGCTCACCATAATTGTACTTAGAGTATTTTTCCAGCAGCTTTGCACATCCAGAGAATGAAACTACATTCTCTTCTTTATAAAACCACTCAAACTAATT